TGCAAGCAGAGACAATTTGACTTCATCTCTTCTTGTTCGAATGCCCTTTATTTCTTTCTCTTGCCTGATTGCCCTAGCCAGAATGTCCAATACTGTGGTGAATAGGAGTGGTGAGAGAGGGCATTGTTGACTTGTGCCAGTTTTCAAAGGGAATGCTTCCAGCTTTTTCCCATTCAGTATGCTGTTGGCTGTAGGTTTGTCATAAATAGCTCTTATTATTTTGAGATATGTTCCTTCAGTGCCTAGTTTTTAGCATGAGAGGGTTTTAGCATGAAGGGGTGTTGAATTTTATTGAAGGCCTTTTCAGCATCTATTGAGATAATCACATGATTTTTGTCATTGGTTCTGTTTATGTGATAGATTATATTTATTGATTTGCATATGTTGAACCAGCCTTGCATCCCAGGAATGAAGTCAACTTGATCATGGTGGATAAATTTTTTGATGTGCTTCTGGATTTGGTTTGCCAGTATTGTATTGAGGTTTTTCACATCAGGGATATTGACCTGAAATTTTCTTTTTCGTTGAGTCTCTGCCAGGTTTTGGTATCAGAATGACACTGGCCTCATAAAATGAGTTAGGGAGGAATCCTTTTTCTGTTGTTTGGAATAGTTTCAGAAGGAATGGTACCAGCTCCTCTTTGTACCTCTGGGAGAATTTGGCTGTGAATCTGTCTGATCTTGGGCTTTTTTTTTGTTTTTTTGGTTGAAAGGCTATTAACTACTGTCTCAACTTTAGAACTTGTTATTGATCTATTCAAGGATTTGACTTCTCCCTGGTTTAGACTTCGGAGGGTGTATGTGTCCAGGAATTTATTGATTTCTTCTAGATTTTCTAGTTTATTTGCATAGAGTGTTTATAGTATTCTCTGATGGTAGTTTGTTTTTCTGTGGGATCAGTGGTGATATCCCTTTTATCATTTTCTATTGTGTCTATTTGATTCTTCTCTCTTTTATTCTTTATTAGTCTGGTTGGCAGTCTATCTATTTTGTTAATGTTTTCAAAAAAACAGCTCTGGGATTCATTGATTTTTTTTGAAGGGTTTTTTGTGTCTCTATCTCCTTCAGGTCTGCTCTGATCTTATTTATTTCTTGTATTCTGCTAGCTTTTGAATTTATTTGTTCTTGCTTCTCTAGTTCTTTTAATTGTGATATTAGGGTGTCAATTTTACATCTTTTCTGCTTTCTCCTGTGGGCATTTAGTGCTTGTATAATTTCGCCTGTAAACCACTACTTCTATGTCGTGTCCCAGAGATTCTGGTACATTGTGTCTTGTTACTCATTGGTTTCAAAGAATTTTTTTTTTTTTTTTTTTTTGGAGATGGAGTCTTGCTCTGTCACCCAGGGCTGGAGTTGCAGTAGGGTGTTATCTTCAGCTCACTGCAAGCTCCACCTCCTGGGTTTCACGCCATTTGGCTGCCTCAGCTCCTGAGTAACTGGGACTATGGGTGCCTGCCACCATGGCCCGGCTAATGTTTTTTTGTTTGTTTTTGTTTTTGTTTGTTCTCTGTTGTTTTGTATTTTAGTAGAGACAGGTTTCACCATGTTTGGTCAAGGATGGTGTCTCGATTCTCCTGACCCTCATGGAGTCCATCCACCTCGGACCTCCCGAAGTGCTGTGATTACAGGCGTGAGTCACTGCACCGGCTTTGGAATGGAATTTCTTAATCCTGCAGTTCTAATTTGCATTGGCACTGATGGTTGAGAGACTGTATTGGATTTCTGTTCTTTGCGATTTAGCTGAGGAGTGTTTTACTTCCTAACTCTGTGGTCAGTTTAGAGTGAGTGCAATGTGATTTGCTGAGAAGAATGCATAGTTCTGTTGACTGGGGGTGGCAGAGTTCGTTCGTATGATGTCTATTTGTTCTGCTTGGATGCAAGAGTGGAGTTCAGTCTCAATTATCCTTGTTAATTTTTCTCTCATTGTTTCTGTCTAATATTGGGACAGTGGTATAAAAGTCTCCCACTATTGATTGTATGGAGGAGTTAAGTCTCTGTCTTGTAGGGCTCCTTCTAAGGACGCTTGGCTTATGAATCTGTGGTGGCTCTAGTTATGGGTGCATGATATATTTAGATAGGCTCGGCTCTGTGTCTTTGTTGGCCTTCTGATGACTTTACCATTATGGTAATGCCCTTTTTTGTCTTTGTTTTGATCTTTGTTGGTTTAAAGTCTGTTTTATCAGCCATGACTAGATTGTGAAACCCCTGCTTTTTTTTTTTTTTTTTTTGCTTTCATTTGCTTGGTAATACTTCCTCCATCCTTTATTTTGGAGCCTATGTGTGTCTTTGCACATGCAGATGGAGTCTCTTGAATACAGCACACATATGGTCTTGACTTTTTAATCCAATTTGCCCAATCTGTGTTTTTTAATTGGGGCATTTACCATTTACATTTAAGGTTAATATTGTTATGTGTGAATTTATCCTGTTCATTATGATGCTAGCTAGTTATTTTGCCCCATTAGTTGATGCAGTTTTCTTCCATGGTGGTGATGAATCTACAGATTTTGGATGTTTTTGCCAGTGGCGGTTTACTGGTTTCTACTTTCTGTATTTAGTGCTTTCCCATCAGGACGCTCTTGTAAGACAAGGCTCATTGGTGGCAAAACTCTCTCAGCATTTGCTTGTCTGTAAAGGATTTTATTTCTCCTTACTTATGAAGCTTAGTTGGCTGGATATGACAATTCTGAGTTGAAAATCATTTTCTTTTAGAATTGTTGAATATATGGCCCTCACTCTCTTCTGACTGTCTAGGGTTTCTGCAGAGATATCCCACTGTCTAGTCTGATGCGCATCCCTTTGTGGGTAACCCAGCCTTTCTCTCTGGCAGCCTTTACGCCTATATGCAGAGGTAAATGCTTTGCAGCTTCCTCAGCAGTAAAGGATGCTGTGTCCTCCAGTATGTCACCCAGTATTTGTGAGTGATATGGAGGCAATCATTATATACTTTACTGATGTCTTTATTACTAATCTCTTAGGGAGTTTTACTAAGCAGTTTTAAGTAATGAAATACTGACCTTTTGGGCATAAACTTTGCAAAGATTTTATAAAGCTGCAGGGCTAGGTAGGCAGAAACTTATCTGGTATAGGTTAAATGAAGGAAGGAGAATAAAGCCATGGATTGGGAGAAATAAAATGGTAGCTTTTACAATATGCCAGTACCCTGGTGGATACCATAGAACTCCAGGCACTTGAAGTTTATTCTTTTGGGGGACTACCCCTGAAAAAATATATATATATGTATAAAAATATACATTTATGTTTATTTATATCTATACATACATAAATACAGCCATCAGATGATATTAAATAAGAATTAGAAGGTTAGTGAAGGGAGTATGTTTATAATCTGGGGTTATTTTCTTTATATATTCTAACATAAGTTTTACAGTGTCACATAATTTTAAAGCTGGGAGGAATCTTACAATGCATCTAGTCCATCCTCCTTGCATTTACAAAGGTTTTAGCTTACAAGCAACAGAAATCCTTTGTAGTTAAATTTTGTAGTAAAAAGATTTCTGTGGAAAGATTTTTTTTTTTTTTTTGAGACAAAGTCTCACTCTGTTGCCCCAGGCTGGTGTGCAGTGGCATGATCTCGGCTCACTGCAAGCTCCGCCTCCCAGGTTCCCGCCATTCTCTGGACTCAGCCTCCCAAGTAGCTGGGACTACAGGTGCCCACCACCATGCCTGGCTAATTTTTTTTTTGTAATTTTAGAAGAGATGGGGTTTCACCGTGGTCTCAATCTCCTGACCTCATGATCTACCCACCTTGGCCTTCCAAAGTGCTGGGATTACAGGCATGAGCCACCATGCCCAGCCGGAAAGATATTTGACTAACCCACAGAAGCATCAGTTAGGCCACAGACCCAAGCTTACCAAACAGTTGGGAATAATGAAATCTGGGAAGACAGAAAAGAATCAGGTTTGGAACCCAACTCCCTTCGGAATTATCCTCTTAAGTTTAACTATGACTACTGGACACCATGGCGTGCCTCCTCCTCTGTGGTGTCATGACATTGGACATCTCTGCTGGCAACACTGCCTTTGTTCCTGTTCCTGTCGTGCCACCCAGCTCAGGGTCCTAACAGCTCCTCAACAGGCCCTGCTTCTCTGCACCACTGACTTCTAAGTACAGCATCCATGGGGCTGAGCTCAGGTCCCATACTCATGCTCTAACTGCAAAGGAGGCTGGGAAAGCATGCATCAGGCCTCCGCTTACAGTGGGAGTTTCTACAGAGGAGGAAGGGGGCTCAGAAGCCGAGAAAAAAGAAAGAGAACACCTTCTACAGTTCACAGCTTTAGTTGGAAAAATCAACACATAGCCTTCTTTCTATACTTAAAACAGCAAAAAATTTGCTTCCACCTAACACTGTTGTTTTACCTTTTACAACCCAAAATGTACTCACTTCATTCCCAAAGGGAATAAACTTAAAGTCTTATTTGTGACAGCATCCAGCTCCAAATCCAGGATCCCTAGGTCATATCTTTTTGTCCCATCATCCTCTCATCTTGTCATGATCTATCTTGATATTCCATAACCTATGAATGGAATTTTAAAGTTCACTACCAATAACAACACCTCATATAAAATAGTATAGAAAAGGGAGGTGAAGGAAGTGAACAGAAAGTGTGTATGTGTTTGTGTGTGTGTGTGCGTGTGTGTGTGTCAGATCAAGGATGAACACCTTTCTGTAAGTGGTCCTTGCTTCTGCAAATGGTCAAGATCATAATTCAGATTTATAATTTCCCTTCTCTACTGTGAATTACATATGCCCTTTGCTTTCAGCCAGCATCTTGACTGATTGCAGTTCTTTACTTAATAGGTTGACTGCTACCTTTTCTGAAGGACTTGCTTGCATAGGTTGACTTTTATCCCTGGCATACAATTCCATAAGATGTCCTAGGGATTCTTTGGATTTCATCTGCTTCTCCCTGCCTGTATTAAATTATAGTACTCCTATATCCCCTTGATAGGTCTATTGTTCCAACCAACACTGTAACCTTCTTTTATGTCTGTTTGCTTCATGGTATGACAAACCCCAAAAGGCAAACATTTGCATCAGATCTTAAGTCAATGTAACCATTGTTGTCCTCTGATGGAAGCATTAGAAGTAAAACCAGCAGAGCCTGGAGTCCTGGGGATGGGGAACAGAAATTTTATTAAAGGATCTTTGGGATTAATTGTGAAAAGCACCATTCCCACTTGTATTTAATGGTTCAACTATGTGCATATTCTGTCTTTGTGAGAAATGGCACCATATATTGGTCACTAATCAGAGCAAAATCACTTCTTACAAAACAGCATTGAACCTCAGAAAATATTGCTTCCCAGTTCATTCTGTAGCAGAGTCTTCAATTGGCTATCTGTCGTTTTATAAGGACAGCAGCATCCGGGTGATGCGGTGAATGCCTGCGCTCCAGCCTATTGCTCTACTTCTTACACAGTAAATGGACTTCCTTAGGAAGAAACAATGTCCTGTGGGATATTATGGATACACAGTTGGCACAAAAACAGTGTATAGTGAAAGAAAATCCAATTATTTTTTTCTGTCCTTTCCATGATAAAAGTGTGCAATAAAATATTGGAACTGGCTAAAATTGGCTGATTCCCCTGGGGTATTATACCATGTTAAGGACTCACAGGTACAGTAGTCGGATTAGCCTTGATAAAAGCAACCTACATGGTTGAGCAGTCCATAGCCCCTGTTCCCATCACCAGGAGCATTTTATCATAAGCCCATTGAGCAAGTGGCAGGTTGCTGGAGAAGAAGACTGATACACACATAATAGGCCATGACTCCCACCTACTTCTTTAAAATCACCTCCATACAATATATGTGCACTCTGGACTAATTCCAACAATTTTTCGGAGACTTATTTTCACAAATCCTCCAATCTTATTCCTTCAATGTCCGTAACCTACTGGCCAAACCATTAGCTACTGCCCACAAAATGTTACTAATCCATCTTTTATTCATCTGTTAAAAACTATTTGTTGAATACTAACATGAGCCAGTCACTAATTCTTTACATCAGGTAAAGTGAACATGGAAATCATCCTATAGAAATTACATTTGCATGGTAAATCTCCCTCCTCAGTCCCCTTTCAGGGACTTCTCTGAGCAGTGCCATCAATCCCAGCACTCAGCTTCTGTCTGGACCAGTGCATGTGTAGATCCAGCTGTAAAACTGGCTCATTTTTTCCTTTCTCCAGAGGGGGTCTTAGGGGCTGTGGGTGTGGGTTGAAGGAGGGATGCTGCTGTGGCAGGAGTGGCATGCTGAGTGGGAGCTGCCTGTCTGGGTAAATTACTTGGGTCTTCAGGCCCATTCCACTTTGGTTTAATGAGTTGGTACTGCTTAGGAACTCCTAGAAGCATTTGGTGGCTCAGATGACACCCAGCTCATTAGAATAGCTGTGAGTCTCATTGTTACCTGGTATCTTAAGATCAGGAGCCAAACTCTTGTTTCTGAAATGGAGGTTAAAAAAATACATACCTCATATGGTTCTTGTGAGGGATAAACACACTAAAACATGGAAAACACTTACTACAATGCCTACCACATGTATCTGCTTGACAAATGATAGTTATCATAATGATCACCAGGGTCCAATAGTGATTAAAGAGCTAGATCTTAAAAGAAAAATTACAGCTTGCAAGGACGGCATGATTGTGCTGCAGAACCCTGAAGGTCTCTACTATGTGAGAACCTACAAAGGTTTTGACATGCTCTATAAGACATTCTAGTCACCCAGAATACACCAGGGCACCAGTGAACTCTCTGCATCAAGGCCAAGTGGCATTGCCATCTGCATCATGACCTGGACCAGCTGGACAGCTTTCTCTTGTTCAGACCGGTGTTCATACTGTTAGCTGTTTAGGTCACTCACTAAACTGACTGGAGTGGCATTCACAAATGCTGATTTTGCTACCTTCCAAACCTACAAAGAATCATCTGGCATTATGATTGTCTTTTTTTAATGTGGAGTAAGAAAATCTGTATTAAAATCCCTACCTTACCACTTCCTACCTCTATGACCTTAGTCAAGTTACCGATGTCACTGAACACACCCAAGTGGTTGTTAGCAGAATTAAAGGAAACGATGTATATAAAGCACCCGGAGTACAATACACACTATTATATTCATTTCTCTCGACACCTTCCTCCTTATCTACAATGTTTAGCCAGCTGTCTCTGGGGCTTTGCTATATGGATGTCTCTCTGGCACTTCACATTTTCCATGCCTCAGGTAAAGATATTCATCGCTCTCTCCACCCTGTTCTTCCTCCGGCATTCCCTTTTCTGTAAATGACAACAGGATGTACTCACTGCCCAATCAGAAGCCCAAGGTGACTCTTCCCTCTCTTACTCCCCACTCCTACAGCCAAGGGCTTATTAAATTCTGGAAATTTACCTTTTGAATATCAATATCCTTTGCTATCACCCTGATAGGGCCACCATCCTCTCTCACCTGAATTGCAGCCACAACACCTACTTCTTCAGCCTTGCCCCAAAGCAAACACAGCTAGTCATGTCATTCAGATACTGAAAACCCTTCTGTGGTTTTTCTTCACACTTTGAGTAAAGTTCAGATGCCTTAATGTTGCCCATGGGATACCCAAAGCTGGACTCTGCTTAGCTCTTTAATCTGTCACTGGACTCCTGCCCCTCCTACTCCTCTCCAGACTGCTGGGCTCTGTCAGTTCCTGGTAGATCCACTGGGTCTTCAGATGGATGTTTCTTCTACTGGGAACATTCCTGTGGCTGACTATATTCATGTGTTCTTCATGTCTCTGCACAAATGTGACTTCCTCAGTGAGACCTTCTTTGGCCCCTTGTTGAAGTTAGGTCGTCTTGGTGTATGTTTTCATGATGCCTGTTGAGACGAATTTGGACAGAGTCAAGAATTTTGACAGGACATGGAGAGGATAGTTTGTCTCTGCTTCATAATTTCTGGAGTTTGAGCTTGGAGAACTTGAATGGCTGGGGAGGGGAATAATCTGATGACTTCTTTCATCTGGGCTGAGATGACTAGAAAGCTGGGTGTAGGAAAACCAAACACCGCGTGTTCTCACTCATAGGTGGGAACTGAACAATGAGATCACTTGGACTCGGGAAGGGGAACATCACACACTGGGGCCTTTCAGGGGCAGGGGGAGGGGGGAGGGATTGCAGTGGGAGTCATACCTGATGTAAATGACGAGTTGATGGGTGCTGATGAGTTGATGGGTGCAGCACAGCAACATGACACAAGTATACATATGTAACAAACCTGCACGTTATGCACATGTACCCTAGAACTTAAAGTATAATAATAATAATAAATTAAAAAATTTAAAAAATTAAAAAAATTAAAAAAAAAAAAAAAAGAAAGCTGGGTGTAGCTGGGAACTGTCATCTGGAGCCATGCATGGCCTCTCCATGAAGCTTGGCTTCTTCAAAGCATAGTGGCCTCAGAGGAGGCAGACTTCCTTTATAATGCCTCTGAGCTCCAGGAGCTTGTCTTCCAACAAAAAAGGCGGAAGCCTTAAAGCTTTCATGACTTAGTCTTGGAAATCACATAGTGTTGCTTCTATTTTATCCACTGGTCAAAGTAATTATAAGGCCCATCAAGATTCAAGTAGAAGGCATTTAGATCCAAACTCTCAATAGGAGGAGTATCAAATAATTTGTGATCCCATATCAAAACCCACCATAGTGCCCTTTTCCTGTACAAACTTAACACTCATTTTGTATTGTAATTACTTGTTAAATGTTTATCTTCTCCAGTAAACTCCAGTAAATTCTATTGAAGTAGAATTTGCATCTGTCTTCACCATCCTACCTTTGTATCTGGCACATTATAGGTAACCCATCTCAATAAATATTCATTGAGAAGAGGAAAATAACTAGCATAAACCACTACTAGACAAATGGTAGGGCCCTGATTTGTTATAGTTGAATGAACCACACTTGTTTTAGTTCTGGTTAAACTAGAAGAATAAGGAATTGTCTCTTGGTTATTTACGTTTGCCTTTTTGTTCTAAACAAAGGAAAGAGTAACATCCCAAAATTGTCAAGCCTGAGTATTAAAGATCATAAATCTTAAAAGTCATCTAGCTCAATGGTTTTAATGTTTAAATCTCTTCCACTTCTCTACTAAGTGTTCCTACATTTCATACATCCTAGGTACATGTCCATCTCCTGATGTTGAACTTGCTATCTTTGAGGACATTATATTTTATCTTTTGATAGCTACAGAATTTTTTTCTTTTCCTTTTTTTATTCCTTTTTTTTTATAGTAAGCTCAGATCTGTCTCTGGTACACATTGGTCCTCCTTTTATTGTTTGAGACCATGTGAAACAAATGTAAATCTTTCTCCTAACAAACTTTTAATATTGAGGATATTATATCTTTCTCTTTCCCCATATCTGTCTCCATCCCTATAAGGTCTTTCTTTTATGAGTTCTTTTTGGAGGGAGTATGCTTTCAACTCATTTGCCATTTTAGTGGAGGAGGGTTTAGGAGGAAAATCCTCACTGGCCAGAGGACACCACAGTGATGATGCCCACACGTCGTGGTTCAGGATCACTATGGCATTATTGTTAAAGGATATAAATTATTACAAATAAAGCTTATTGCTTAGGAAGTTATTTGTGTCAGTATCTAATATATATTTATTTAAATAAGATAAGTTCGTATCTGAAAGCAAACCCATTGTACTGCACAGATATATTAACATGAGATTGACCTGTCAAGGTAAAGGCCTCAAAGCACAGACAGTGGGTAAGGTGGCTTCACTCGCAGAAGGGAGCAAATAAGACACTGCTCTCCAACTCTGAGTAGATTCTGGACTAACAGACCAAGGTTCCAGTTACCAGTACCTTCATTATGACTCCTTTAATCACGCTGATTGCAAACTAGAAGCAAGCCTCCCTACTTAGAGCAGCTCATGGACTTCTTTAATCTTGGAGGTCTCAGAGGAGTCTCCTGCTCTCTGCTCAGTGGCTTAAGAGTATAGTGCTGCTCAAACCTGTCACACCATCCAAGAGAGCCCCTTTCCTTCACCAAAGTTAAGCTAGGCAGCTAAAAGGACAGCTAACACAAAGATTCAATTGTAAGTTTTCCCTTTTGTTCTCTGGGTTAGTCCATATC